GCAAACAAGCGACATGGTTACAGATTACAGAGTAAATTCGATCAAAAACGCCAAATTAATCCAAAATGATCATGTTACTGTGTTATTCATTTCACTGTAGCTAAATTACACTGGAAAATGTTGTTGATTTTTTGCCCATGTGTTTTTTGGTTCGTCCTTTTGCCCTTTCCATTGAAGTATAAAACCACGATCACATCACTTAAATTGACTTTAATTATGGTTTATTTACCACCGACTGTGAAAAATCCGTTGAATTCATACATTTTTAGTTGTATGTTTTTACATATGTGTGCGTGTTTATATTGGATTGCCTGCCAGTCAGTCAGTCAGTCATTGCGCCTATTTGAGAGGGAAAAAGTATGAGAGGCGTATGTGTGTATGTTTATTTTTCATATTACAGCTATTGGCCCATCGATGAATTGGGTATTTTCAATATAGCGTCAATAATAGAGTTATTAATGAATTCATGAGATTATTAATTAAACATTTATACGAGCCTGTGAATATATTTCGAACGCCCATTTCCACTTTTCGATTGTTAATTAACCGAATTGTATTTTTCGTCGAAACGACACGGATTGATGCTCATTTATTTCCCGCCCGATGCCATTTACGCTGTTTGCGAATGCTGAAATGTTGCGAAAGCAATTTAAATACTTTTATTTCGCAAAGAATTACCGGGAAACCGTATATATCATCTGTGAACGAGGGAATTATTATGTCTTGTGTCGGCTTATCTCGTCATGCAATGGAAATATATATATATATATATACATACATCCCAGCTATAGAACGTCTATCAATTACACATTAGATTTAGTTAAGATTTAGACTCGCGTTCCGTTGCTAAGACAGAGGATATATTCTACCCCCTCTCCCTTCGGGCGATGAACAATCACATGCTTTTGTCGGCATTTCACCTCAACGTTGAATTGAATATTTATATATATGTACAGTTATATCAAATCGTCCGAATGGTTTCATATCAAAAAACTATTAGCATTTACAAAATCGTAGTAAAGCAAACTGCTTCCGTATGTCGTGCCGAAACACATGAAAACGTAATGAGGTTAATGATTAGAATTTGTATCATCGGTAAAATTCATATACAGTAAAACCTGTCAATAACGGAATCCCATGAGGAATTTTTTTTTTCCACTATTGACACGAATTCCACTATTCAAAGGTTCCGTTATTGACAGATTTTTGAGTCGAACCAAACATGATTTTCCATTATTGAGGGTAAAAAGAAACAAAAAAAACCGAAGCATACATTTTTATAGGTATTTAATGATCAAATCAAGCGATATAATAAAGGTGAGAAGGAAATACTGAAATAAAAGTATTTTTTTAATAAATGAATAAGGGAAAGAACGAAAAATGAAAAAAAAAAACAGTGAATGACAAACATTATTATTTAGAACAATCAAGCAGTCTAAACAGTGACTCAAAATGAGAAAGTAAATGATACTCATTTCTTTCACTGCCAAATTGGCAGCGATAAATTCTGCATTTCATCAAATGAATAAATGATTTTCAAACTTACTGTAAATATACTGAATTGCTCGCGCCAATCGAGTGGATGTGTTTTTATTGGGAGCGATTAGCAACGATTTTGGCAGACGAAAGTAAAACATGATACTGAAATCAATGTAATGTACATTGTATAGTACTGCAGGATTTTTATGATGATCATTGGTTTTGATAAAGGAAAAAATATAGTTTTAAATGAAAAAGACACGGAAAAAAGACGAAAAAAAGTTTCGTCAAGAAATTTTTTCCACTATTCGGAGTTTCGGTTTTCCGTTATTAACAGGTCAATTTGTATGATAGAGCTCAACGGCCAAATTTTTTTTCCACTATTGACACGATTTCCACTATTCCCAGGTTCCGTTATTCACAGGTTTTACTGTATAGAATTCAATATCGGAGTATTTCTTTTTGCTTAAAAGACCGAATTTAAAGAAACGGCTCATTTGGTTCGGAGCTATGAAAAGCTTGTATAAATTTTTAAACACAACAAGTATATGACCTATTCGAAAACATTTTCAAACATATCGATTGAAGTTATCCGAATTTTGTATTATCCTCTACAAAAAAAAAATCACCAGAAAATCGGTTATCTTTCTTTCAATCGACAGCTGTCGGCCCAAAATGCAATGCCAAAAAAAGAACGTCGAGAGATTTAATCCTTTACCAAATATTGTTACGCTCTAAATTCCTTGCTGATTTACAAGCTTACCGACGTAATTTTTTTTTTATTTGTCTACTCGGTGTGTGTGTGTGTGTGTTCTTGTATTTCGCTTGGAATCTCGAATCCCTGCAAATTGAAATGCTTCGTGTCGGCTATCTATTAAGTTGAGTTTGAATTTAGTCAAAGTATTAAAGCGATTTTAATTACTTGTCTGTCATTTGGCTTAATGAATTAGCATTCTATGGAAAGCCTATATTTTCCGGTGAGCGCTATTTGATTAACACACTTCTGGGCTTGTGAACATGAACATCATTCAATAGTTTCCAACGAGGGTACATACAATAATGTTTTGATTCGGAGCATTTGTAATCGTTTTGCATGTAACAAATGTTAATGTTAAATTTGCTTCATTTTCTATTTCAATTTAACATGAATTATATGAATATTGCCTAAAAGTGCCGAAATATCTTGAAAATCTTTCACTCACATGTAGATCCATACAAAGTGTTCGCATATCCAAACAACATACACAGAAACCATTCAGAAGATTTTGTGCTTGAAGCGCACGAATCGACAAACAAAAGCAAAATCTAGTTCGGAGTATGGAGAGCGATTCAAGCAATTTGCTGTAAGAAGATTGGATTCTTGTAATTGAAAATGTGATTTTTCTTTGTTTGCGTTCTAAAATGCAAAGATCAAACGTTTGCTGTGCTTTGTTCTAATGAATATTGAACAGGTATTTGATTAGTCATGATAGAGAGAGCAGGAGGAGTGTGTCTGTGTGTATGCGGGGTAATGTGTTTGTTTCATATGGAATTGTCATCAGGAAAACTAATCACAAATACTGCTATGCTGCCGTAGTTGAACCGTTTGGCTTTGATTTGGTTGAGCAATATCGCTATTCTTTGTGCTGTTATGGTATGCCATTTTTTGACGTTGATTTTGATGCGATGTGCGGTGTGGACGTTTGTTTGTGTTGTTTCGGTGTGTAGTAGTTTGGTTTCAAGATTTGACCCTTACATAATATATTATTTATTATATTGTTGTTGGGTAAACTCTTTAGTCTCAGTGGTGAAAGAAAGGGTCATTCGCATTAATATGTTTTGCTGAAAACAATCGTTTGCTCCAACAAAACACCAACACACATACACATACTGTTGTACTCCCATTTATTCATTATTATTGTTTCATGTTGTTTTCGCCCTTCGTTTCGGGTTTTTTTTTTTGTTTCTTCTGCCATTGGATTTTGTTGTGCTTATTTGCGGCGCTCACTTTATTACAGTTTTTTTTTGCTTCTCTTGGTCGCACTGTTGCACGCAGCTTGCATTTATGTTCACGCCAGATCACTTTCTCTAGCGCTCTCTCGCACCAAGACCAAAGCGTGGTCTGTTTATATGTTTGATATGTTATCGTCGTACCGTATTATCGCATCAGTATCATTTGCCATTTTATACTCACGAGAAAACATTTACCGCCGAATGTTTCAATGGATTTAGCTTTTTCGAAGGAGTTAATCACAGAGGAACAAAGCGTAAAATAGCGAAACAGAAAACAATGACGCCGTCGCTGCTGTCGCCATCAACAACGATCCACACATAAAGAGACAGAGTGAGACAGTCGCACATACTCGATTCGGGTGAAGTGGACAATGTTGAACTGATGAAAATGATAGCCTAAACTTAAAATCCATGTTTTTGGCTTTATTAAATGATGTCCGTTTGTTGCAAACTGCTATATTTTTGTGCAAAACTTTTAGGTTCACTTCAATTGGGTAGTTGTTGTGTTACCCATTAGAGACTATAAATATAACAATCGATTTCAATAGTTCACACTCAAACATCGCACGAGTTTAAAACAAAAAAAAAACAGAAACACATACATGCATTCGATGGCAAACGCGACACAAGGATGAAGCGCCCGACTACTCTTTGTTTATCGTTTTAACTTCTTGGCACAAATTGAATGAAACGAACTAGATAGAATGACGAACCGAGACAAACACACACACAAAAAAACGTACACACAAAATCCTCTGGAAGCGTTGAAACGTATAAAATGCATTTACATTTTACTTGATTAAATTTTCATGAAGACGTACACGAAGAGAGAGATAGAGAGAGAGAGAGAGAGAGAGAGAGAGAGAGAGAGAGAGAGAGAAAGTAAAGCGAAAAAAATGGAAAACATGGCAAAAGAAAGGATGCGTTCAAGAATTTGTAATGCAAAACAGTGTTTATACTCTCTTTTTTTCCTCCTCCTGTTCGCCCCTGTTTTTAATTTATCAAGTTCATGATGCGTGAATTGGAATAGCTATTAACTACAGATTGAATAAAGAAGATTTTTTCTTCTTTTATGAAATAATATAAGAAATGAGATTCGTCTTTTCTCTTCCGTTTTTCTTATTTCACGTTGTGTTGTTTTTTTTTTTCATAAAAAGTTCCTTTTTTCCAATTAAATTGAATAATTGCTCATTCTGTGGTGCTACAGTCCACAATGTTATTCGATACTTGAATAATAAACATACAGATACACTGCGCACATATTTATTTTGAACCGTTTCGTCAGTGAACGATTTGAAACCGCACAAAAGCTTCATTCAATTTCGATTTTCAACAATTGATCACGCGAATGCATTCACAATATAAAATGTGCTGCAAACCAAACCACGATGCAATTTTAGTTGATGGGATTTAAAAGAATTTATTACATTCAGCAGCTAATTTGTAATAAATTAAAATGCGTAAACTCTCACCCCATTGCCCGATAGCTGATACCACATTGTAATCATGTTGTTTTTGTTTCATTTCAGGGATGGAAGCAATTATGTCGGAGTTTTTCAACGACACAACTACCGCATTCTACATCATTTTGATTGTATGGATTGCAGATCAATACGATGCCATTTGCTGTATTACGCCAATCACCAAACGACACTGGCTGAGGTATGAAAATGTTATCTTTAAAATGAGCATCACGGGCGAAAGACACAAAGAGGAATGTTCGCATATGAAAAACGTTCGAATTTCGGGTTTCTCTTAAGTTTCCCGTGAATTAATTTAATCCAGTACTGAGCATATCATCATCGGGTTTTCTATAATTAAAACTTACATGAAAAATCCGCCTGATACTGTCATTTTGTGCCAACTGTGCTGGCGATTGATTTTTCCGTACTAGATTTATGATGGCGAGCAGCTGTACTATGAATTGATGAAAGAAAAAAAAGCGATGGATTTATAAAACGAAATGGTCGTCTCGTTTCGAAATGGATCACGAACAGCAAAATTGGCGATACACACACTGGCAAGATTCATTCGTTTCAAGTTGATTCGTTGCAATGATGATATGGTTTGTCGTTCTTTTTACCCAACAACATTAAATCTAAACACAATTTAGACAATTCGATTTTCTAGTTTTCTGTTTGCGGTAAAGTGACGAGACAAATAGACTCAGTCCCTGTGTGCGGTGATATTCGCACTAAACGCTGATTACTTTTGAATCATTGGCGTCTAGAGTTCTGTAGCCCGGTATATGGCTTCGGAAACACGAAGAATCGACCGTCTGACCGTGCCGTCCATTCATTCATCGCCATTACATGATCAACTTCAATTTGCATCGACACAACAAGCGTTGAGCAGTTGCGCCCGCTCTCTCTCTCTCTCTCTCTCTCTCTCTCTCTCTCTCTCTCT